AAAAAAAAAAAAAACTAACAATAAAAATTTCTGTACAGGCTCAGTGCCTGTAGCACAGTGGTTATGGTGCCGGCCACATACGCTGAAGATGGTAGGTTCAAACCCAGCTCAGGCCAGCTGAACAACAATGACAACTACAACAAAAAATAGCTGGGTGTTCTGGCAGGCACCTGTAGTCCCAGCTACTAGGGAAGGTGAGGAAATAGAATCACTTAAGCCCAAGAGTTTGAGGTTGCTGTGAGCTGTGACGCCATGGGATCCTACCCAGGGGCAACACAGTGAGACTCTGTCTCAAAAATGAAAGAGGCTCAGCACCTATGGCTCAAGCAGCTGGGGTGCCAGCCACATACATCAGAGCTGGCAAGTTTAAATCCAGCCTAGGCCTGCCAAACAACAATAACAACTACAACCAAAAAACAGCTAGGCATTGTGGTGGGTGCCTGTAGTCCCAGCTACTTGGGAGGCTGAGGCAAGAGAATCGCTTAACCCCAAGAGTTTGAGGTTGCTGTGAGCTGTGATGCTACAGCACTCTATCCAGGGCAACAGCTTGAGACTCTGTCTCAAAACAAAAACAAAAACAAAAACCCAACAACTATCTGTACAAACAATATTGAAACCAATGGATGGTGTCTACCTGCAGACAAGTAGGCTACATGTTCAGTTAATAGCCAGAGAATTACTTTAGATTCAGGTAGACTTGACTCTTTTTTGTTTTAACCAGCTGTGGACCTATGGGCAAGTGAATAAAACTCATTGGAAAAATACTGTCAGCTTTAAACTAGAAGATGCAGACAAAGGGCTTAGTGCCAAGGCCTGGCACAGTGAAGGCTCCACAGCAGATGGGTTATTAGCACAGTCTTAAGAACATTTTGGGTACAGTATACACTAAACGCCCATTCTATCAGATGTAAAGTTAGCTCTAGTCTGCTGCTGATTTGAAGAAACTCTAAGACAGGCTGACAATAAGCTGAGAGGCTGGAACACATCCAGAAGTATACATATTTGTGAGACCCAGATTAAAGTTTAGGAAGAGATTTTAGCCATCATTTAGCCCAAATCCTATTCAAGTTTAGAAAAGGGAGGCCCAGAGCGAGTCAGCACTTAATCAAGCTAGATGTATATTTTTCAATTGAAGACACAAATACAAACTAGCCAATCTGAGCTTATGTATGTAGTCTTCCATCTCAACCTGACTAAGCATTTCTCTTCCTTAACTATTTTATTGATTTTTTTTTTAAACAGTTTCATACTCTGTTGCCCAGGATAGAGAGCCATAGTGTCAGCCTAGCTCACAGCAACCTCAAATTCCTGGGCTCCAGTGATCCTCCTGCCACAGTCTCCTGAGCAGGTGGGAGTACAGGTGCCCCTGGTCAATTTTTCTATTTTTAGTTTTGATGGGGTCTTGCTGTTGCTTAGGCTGGTCTTGAACTCTGAGGTTAAGAGATCCTCCTGCCTTAGTCTCCAAGAGTGCTAGGATCAGGGGATCCTCAAACTTTTTAAACAGAGGGCCAGTTCACTGGCCCTCAGACCA